GTTCATCTGACAGATACATGTGCATTTTATAAAATATTTAATAGTAGATTGATTTGGTTCTAGCATTGCTTGCAAGTTGCAATTGTATTGGAACATGAAATTTTAAGGAATAAAGAAGCAGTTCATTGAAAACCAAAAGATGGGGTTGGTTTTTGAATCCCAAGAAAATAGAGAAATCGATGATTCCCATGAAACAATTATTTATCAATTTCCTGCACATATGACTTAATTTACCGATCCCTAGTATGAATCGAATCGAAAAGTTGATTGGAAATTCGTCCCAAAACTCCTAGCCACATCTCCAAGATTTTCACACTCACATAAGTCAAAGTCCTTTGTGTTTCAAATGCAAGTTCTTTGTGATGTTCTCTGATGCAGTCTCTATATTTATCTTGCTGTGAAAAAGCTTTAATTCTGGACATCAATCCATGTTTTTAATTTGATAGCATTTATGAGTACCTGTTTTCTCATTTTCTTGAATTCGGCTTCTGCTTCACTTGACTTCATTTCTCCATCTGAATCTCTCCCTGATGGCAAGACCTTAGTTTCGTTGATGGAAGCTCTGAACTGGGTTTCTTCAGTCCAGGCAGTTCCAGGAACCGGTACTTGGTAATCTGGTACAAGAAAGTCCCAGCCAGGACAGTTGTTTGGATTGCAAACAGGCTGAATCCAATAAATGACTCTTTCGGAGTGCTGACAATTAAGAAAACAGGTGAGCTTCAGCTTTTGACTCAGGATGTCGCTGCTGTTTGGTCGGTCAACTTGACAAGAGAAGCTCGAAATCCAATACTGCAGCTCCTGAATTCTGACAATCTTGTCCTGATAGATTTAAGTGATGCAAACTCTGGAACTTACTGGTGGCAAAGCTTTGATTATCCATCTGATACATTGCCACCGGGGATGAGCATGGGATGGGACTTGTGAACTGGCCGTGAATGGCGTCTCATGGCATGGAAGAACTCTAATGATCCATCTCCTGGCGACTTTTCCTGGGGAATTGAACTACACGGCAATCCTAAGTTAGTGATGAGGAAAGGGTGATCACAGGAGTACTGCATGGGTGGTCCCTATATAATGGCCAACGGTTTAGTGGCACTAAAATTTCAAGGCCTAACCCGGTTGCTGTGTGTTGAAGTATGTTTCCTTGTGAGTGTGAGGAAACTAAAAATCCCACATCGAAAAGATATAGAAGGAAATAGTGGCTTATATATGTGAAGACTCATGAAATTAATAAATTAGTTTTTTTGTTCCAATGTAATGTTGAAACATGTAATGAATCACTCAATGTTGTCTCACTAAAGTCGTATGTGTGCCAAAGGCGTAACACAGCAAGTGGTAATTTTGGTCTTAGGTCAGGCACAAGACCAGGCTTAGTAAAAGTGAGAGTAAATGTCATGTAAATTCATGACGAGTATACCCATGGATGATGTCGTGCACGTGATGAATATACCCATGGATTATGTCATGTATGTATGTAAAAAAAAAACTCATAGTTTTGGTCTTAGGTTAGGCACAAGACCGGGCTTAGTAAAAGTGAGTGGTAATTTCGGTCTTAGGTCAGGCTTAGTAAAAGTGAGTGAATGTCATGTAAACTCATGACAAGTGTACTCATGGATGATGTTGATGCACTAAAATCACCCTAACAAGTGTACTAGTCGCTCCAAGTAATATAATGATGAGAAGAGTGTCGAACCCACGAGGATTGTGTCTAACTAAATACCAAAATAATTAATCCAAATTTATTTGAACAACCAAATGGGAAGAAA